GCAAATAACTTTTTTAATATTTTCCAAATTCAAGTAAAATATCAAAATTTTATGATTAAATATAATTTTTTTGAAAATTCAACTCTAAAAAGAAAGTAAAAAAAATAAAATATTCTTCATCAAACGTCAATTATTCACTCAAGTTAAGTCTCTATCATGGGGTGGGTGGGGGGGGACCCCCTTAGAGTGTTTAAATTATTGACAATTCTCATCGTTGTGTTGCCAATTTTATAACCAAAAAGTGTAGCTGGTTGGAAATGGTGCTTTCAATGTCAAATCAAGATGACACGTGGATAGCTACAGTTTTAATCAAATGCAAGAACGTGATGTAAGATAATGCTAGCATAATTAATAACTAAATCACTTAATTGGTATTAGATATGCTTATAATTTTAGTTGATTGAAGGCATGATCCTAAATAAAAAAATATGAAGATTGAGGATTAGATTAAAAGAATAGTGTAGATAGTCGAGTATGTTGTTGTACTATAATTTACTACGTGTAGTAATTTCTTTTCCTCCATTGTATTAATATCTGATGTTGCAGGTGTTTTGTCCATTATTATTTTGTTTTTTAAATTTTTTTAATGTTTTACTTTCTTGCTATTTTAGTCAACGGTCTATCAAAAACAAATTTTCTATCTCCCGCAAAAGTAAAGATAAGATTTAGATACATTCTATTATTTCAATATCCCATTAGTGGAATATATTATTGTTGTTAACCACTTAATTGATCTCAATATATATAGAAAAAAGTTTTAATATCATTAAAAAGTTTATTCAAAGGGTCCATAAAAAATGATGATTCACCAGTTTTATTCCTTCACCACTGTTTTCATCGCTCACCATTATCAACTACCATCGTTGTCATTCACTATTAACCATCATTTATAATTATTACCATAACAACTCCTGACTGCTAATGATAAATATCATTGATCTTGGGCATATTTATATGTCCAATTACTACGAATTACCCCTCTTTAACATTCACTATTCTAATTGACATGTTTTGATGTAGGATTGCAATGATTGCATACTAATATAGATGATTAGCTATTTTGCAGGGTTCCTAAGAGAAGTGTTGTGTAATGAGAGCAAAGGAAACAAGGACGACAAAGCGACGCACAAGGAGCAGTCGAGCGCACTGCCCCAGCCAACCTAGCGCGATGGTGGCGCAGGGCGCCATCCCTAAAAGTACTGAGACCTCTTTTTGACGCACTGGTGGTGTAGGACGCTAGCCTTGTGTCACTACCAGATGCATTCTAGGCGCGAATCTGACGCGATGCCCCAACCTCTGACCGACTTGTTAAACGAAATTTGGTTTTCTTAGGATTCCTACTTGGGCTAGAATTGGAAATATTTTTTCTAAACTCTATAAATAGGACCCTAGGGTTATTTTGTAAAGGTTCGACTTCTTTTTGGTGTGCATGAGCAAGGATTAACACATTGTCATAGTTTCGATTCTTTAGCTTTTCGTTAATTTTGAATTGCATAAACAATATTATATTTGAGTTTTTGAATATTATGAGTGGCTAAAAGCCCTTGTTTTGGGGTCGTAGGTATGGGTAATTGTTAAGCATCAATGGTTTTGAGTTAATTCTTGAATATCATTTAAAGTTACTTTTGTGTTCTTGTTTTAGTATTTCTCAACTGACCATCATAGATATAAACCTCTTGTCTATTCTTGAACTTGGGAGACGATAAGGTAGATAGATCAAAGAATATAAAAAAGCCTAATCTTTCTTGCATATCACTTGATTAGATTCATGCTTAGGATTGACAACCGGACGAACACCAAGCTTGGTTACAAAACAAGATGAAATTTAAATGCTCGCCAATTAGGACTGTCTATCCCTGCTCAACGATGTAGTTATACAGCTAATTGGAGTAGGCGATTAGAGGTCGGGAGACCATGATCATAAAATCAACCCTGTAAATCAGTAATTTGGTAACCTTAATTAGTTCATTACTTAAGATGCAATACATGAAACCTGATGTATGTTGCAGACCTGAAATTGTCTCTTAGTTATCAAATTGAAGTCGTTATCGTTGTTACTTTATTTATTAAATTGTTCTTCGTAGTAGTAAACAAAAATCACACTTCTTTAAAGATACTTCTGTTAAATTGTAAAGTTAAATTGGTTAATATAAATTGATCGTAAGTCCCTTGGGTACGATAACTCATTTCTAAAAGGAACTATACTACTTGTGCAACCACGTACACTTGCGTGTGCATTTGAGCACAATAAGTTTTTGGTGCCGCTGTCGGGTACTTTAGAATTAATTTATATTTAATTTTCTTAAGTCTACTATTTGATTGTTCAAGTGTCAATAACTTGATTTTAGCTATTTTGTATTCCAGGCACTTGGTTCTAAAGTTTGGCTTGAAAAGAAGACCTTGTTAAACCAGACGATGAACCTGACAGAGCTCTTCGACTACGAAGAAAGCTGGCGAATCAAGTGCGACAACAGGAATTAGGACTGGATCTCCAAAAAAATACTGAAGGTAACCACGAGAATAACATGAATAACGAAGAACATGAGGTACCCATGGTAGTACCGGCGAGACCAGTCTGTGATGTGGCAATCCCCCTCACCACCAATGTGGCATCAAGTATACAGAAACCACCATCAGGTGGTAGATTTGAGCTGAAACAGAACATGACACACCTCATTCACTCAATGGAGCAGTTCACCAGCCTTCCTCACGAGGATCCATAAGTGTATATAATGAACTTTCTGGAAATAAGCGACAGGTACATTACGAATGGGGTATCATCTGATTACATGAGATTGACTCTTTTTCCACTTTCATCATTGGCAGAAGCAAAGGCATGGTTAGATGCGGAGCCACCAAATTCAATTACTCACTACATGAGATTATTTAGCAAAAAGGTTTTTGGGTCGATTTTTCCCATCAGGCAAAACTGCAAGGTTGAGGAGTGAGATCTTAAACTTCAAGCAGAGAAACAAAGAAGATATGTACCAAGCATGAGCTCGATTTAAGCAAATGTTAAATGCTTGTCCACATAATTATCAAGCGAATGAGGTACTAGCTCACACTTTCTTTTGAGGGTCTTGAATATAATGCACTATTACTTCTCAACAGTGCAGCAGGTGGACAAGCTTTGGCAAAGACCTATGATGAACTGTTCGACCTACTAAACAGACTCTCGGAGGGAAACCCATAATGGAATGAAGAGGCACCAAGGACCATGGTGCAAAGGGCTGCAAGAGTTTTAGATGTAGATCAAGTAACTACTATAACTGCAAAGTTAGATGCAATGCAATATCAGATGACCATGCAGTTCAAGAAAATCACACTAGCTCAACAACAAGCACCAATGAATATTATACAACAAAATGTTGGTTAGTGCGGAGTTTGTCGTAGTGGGGAGCATGCGACTGAATGTTGTGAAGCGAATCCAGACTCCGTGAACTATGTGGGCAAAGCCCAAAGACGTGGAGGAACACATAATTATGGAAAAAACATACAACTAAAGCTGGAGAAATCACCATAACTTCTCATGCCGGTGGAAATCAAAACCAGAACTAAATCAGGCACAAGGGACCAACCAACCGAGCACAAGGGAATGGTCCTCATTACCAAAATTATGGTCAAGGTAATAATCAAGGTGCACAATAAGGGAGTATGACTAATGAAGAGTTGTTCCAAAAGTTGATGGTAGAGATCGGTAAGAACAAAGCAAAAACTGTTTCATACCTAAACTATATATGCACTCTCTCTTTTATTTGAAAAAAACATTGACACATGACATTCCAAATGGATAAAATATTCCACCTTGACAAAAATTAAATAATAAACCTATTAATATTAATTAAAATTTAAAGATTACAGTATTATTATAATTTTTTTTAAAATAAAAATAAATTATTTTTCTTACCTCACTCCACCACCTCCTCTCCCCTCCCTCGACAATCCCCATCCTTTTATTTTTTTTACAATTTCTTTTATAAAATATTTAAAAAAATTCATACTTCACCCTCTCGCACCCCAAAAAAAAAAAAAACCATCCACTCATCCCCCCCCCCTCCAAAAAAATTGATATTATTTTATTTTTAAAAATAAAAATTCTGCCCCATCCTATTTAACCCTCCGTTCATAATTTATATTTACATTTTTCTCGTTATGTGTTAGATATGTGCATATATTTTTAGGAATTTTTTTCTACTTGTGTACTGAATATAACATTAATAAAATGGTGCTTTCAATGTCAAATAAAAAATTGACACGAGTTAAATAAGCTATTTCCTTGTGCTTGAATCATGATATTGAGTTGACATGGGGGGCTACAATTATTAGGGTTCCGGAATTTTCATAACTATTTTGTCATATTATTTTTATTAACTGATTTTAATATTAGGTCTTTGCCTCATTATATGAAGAATACATAATCAATATTAAAACTAAAAACATGAAAAGAATAATTATCGTTGGTTGATATACAAGAAATGACAAGTAAAAATAAAAATTTATTTTCAAAATAGTGAACTACTCCTAAATCCTAATAAAAATGACACATAAAGTATCTTCAAAGCAATTTTTAACACAAGAATAATCCAGCGTGTGTAACTAAATTAAGTACTATTTCAATTAAGTGATATACATTAAGAATCAAAATAAAATACTATTACTCATATATTAAGAAGTATTTTGGTCTATTTTTTCTCCAAATACAACTTGAAGTTGAAGGCTAGACAATATTATAATTTTTTATATGACATGATCTGCCACTCTGCCAGCCTTTTTACTACTAAAACATACTTTATAATTGATTTGCTTTAGAAATTTGCGTCTTATATTGTTTGTTTAAAAAACATTTAAATATACATTTCTCAACATGTTATAATTTTGGTTGTCTGCTGTTGTATGAACCAGACGCACTTTATTATGATGAAGAATAAATTTTTAAATTCAATTTGAAAAATAAAAGTAAAAAATATTCATGATCCAATTAATAGCGTATTGGTAGTTAGTTATAGATATGCATTAGTTTGAATTTTGAATTGAAAAGATCTGGTATACAGTTTGTCTCCTATAGGACTCTTCTAGGTATAGAATTTGTGTCCTTGTAGGAGTTAACCACATCAGTTGTTCCTGTACTTTGTATCTATAAAAAGAGCGTCTTGCTCTTTCATTAATAATAAGATTGATACTCTGTTTTACCAATTTATCATGGTATCAGAGCAGCAGTAAACAATAACAAAATAATAATGACGGGGAACGATAATGAAGTAGCCAATTCTCCATACACGCTGCAACCAACTGATAACCCTGGAGTGTCTCTGGTCACATGTTTGCTCACACAAGATAACTATTCTACATGGCGGAGGGCCATGAGAAATGCTTTGTTGGCTAAGTCAAAGTTAGGCTTTGTTGATGGTAGTCTTCCGCGACCAACAACAAGCTCTACAAACGAAGCTGCCTGGATTAAGGGAAATTCCATGGTAATATCTTGGATTTTTAACTCTCTTCATCCCTCACTTCACAGTAGTGTAGCTTTTTTTGATACAGCAGGTGAACTTTGGAAAGATTTAGAGGAGAGATTTTCACAAGGGAATGCTCCTCGAGTTCACCAGTTGAAGATAGAGATAGTGAATACACAACAGCAGGATCAAACAATGAGTGTTTACTACACCAAATTGAAGGGATTATGGGATGAGTATGGATCGTATTGTCAGTTACCAAACTGCAGTTGTGGTGCCATTAAGGAATATGCAGCAGAAAGGGAAAAAAAGAAGGTTCATCAGTTTCTTATGGGATTGAATGAGAAATTTAATGTTGTTCGATCTCAGATTTTAAATACTGAACCATTACCATCTCTAGCCCGTGTGTATGGACTAGTTTCACAGGAAGAACGACAACAACAACTCACTACAAGCAAAGGAAATAATTTATTGGAGGGGGCATCATTTGCTTCAAAGAGAAACACCAATACTTTCAATTCTCGTCAATTGTCAGGTAACCGTGATGTCTCTAAACTATTTTGTGATCACTGTAAACGATGGAGACACACCAAGGACAAATGTTTTGAACTACATGGCTATCCAGATTGGTGGGAAAACAATAGAAAAGGAAAAGGTAAGTCAGCTAATTCCAGTCGAACATCAGAAGTTGAACGTGTGGATTACTCCCCAATAAGTGGTTTATCAAAAGAACAATATAACCAGCTTATGTCTCTTTTAAGCCTTGAAAACTCCAAGGGTATCGATTCAATGGCTAATTTTGCTGGTAAGGCTGTTACTTTTCCTGCCGCTAATTATGAATGGATATTAGATTCGGGAGCGTCTGATCATATGACTTGTCAGAAGAATTCTCTGTCTAATGAAAGAAAGCTTCTCTTTGATTCTAATATAACTATTCCTGATGGTTCATCTGTTACTGCTAATACTTGTGGAAATGTGACTCTTAATTCTTCAATAACCTTAAATCATGTTTTACATGTTTAGATGTTTGGCTGCAATCTTATTTCTATCAGTAAGTTGACACAATCATTAAATTGTGTTGCTCATTTTTTCCCTTCCTTTTGTGTTCTGCAGGACTTAGCCACGAGGAAGCTGATTGGCATGGGTAAACTGAAGAATAGCTTTTATTATTTCCAAAGTCAAGCACTAGTTTCAGCTCTTTTGTCAAATAAAGACCAAACTATTTTGTGGCATCAACGTCTTGGTCATGTATCTTTTAGTCGTTTGTCTTTCATTTCAGAACTTCAGTTTTTTAATTTTAATAAGTTAGATGATTATTGTGATGCTTGCCACCGAGCTAAGCAAATTCGGAAGTCATTTCCTGTTAGTTCTATTAAATCTAATGAAGCTTTTGATTTGATTCATTGTGATTTATGGGGTCCCTATCATTCACCTTCTTTGTCAAAGTCTCATTATTTCTTGACCATCGTGGATGATTTTACTAGAACTACTTGGGTGTATTTGCTTAAGTCTAAAACTGAAGTTTCTCATTTATTGATTTCCTTTCTTGCAATGGTACAAAGACAATTTAATCGTCTTGTTAAAATCATTCGCAGTGACAACGGCACAGAGTTTACTAATAGTTCACTTTAACAATGTTGTCGGGAAGAAGGAATACTAAATCAGTTTTCTTGTATCTCTACACCCCAACAAAATGGTGTAGTAGAACGTAAACATCGACATTTACTTGATGTCGCTAGATCCTTAAGGTTTCATGCTGGTTTACCAATAAAATTTTGGGGAGAGTGCGTTCTAACAACAACTTATTTAATAAATTACACACCAACACCTCTTTTATCTGGAAAAAGTCCATATGAGTTGTTGTTTTCCTCAAAACCTTCTTATACACATTTACGTGTTTTTGGATGTCTCTGTTATGCTTCAGTTATTCCACGATCTCGTGATAAAGTTCATGATAAAGCCACACCTTGTATTTTTCTGGGTTATCCATATGGTCATAAAGGTTATAAGGTCTTTGATCTAAAAACACATCAAGTATTTGTTTCTCGTGATGTGATTTTTCATGAAAGAGTTTTTCCTTATAAAGAAAATACTCTTTCTTCTCTTAAAAATCAACCACGAGTACCTTTACCATTGTCGATTGATGATCCTGATCAAACCTTTTCAAGCCAAGGTCCACCACAAGAAAATCTCAATCCAGGCACAATACACCCAAATATGGCTCCAAGTGACACCATAAATCTTCAACAATCACCAGATCAGATTATTGAACCATCAAGAACACCTACTGTTCCAATTCGACCTCAACGCACCAAAACCCAACCAGCTCATCTTAAAGATTTTCTAGTCAATCTCCCGAACAATAATAAAGGTTCTTCTTCAGGCTCATCCAACACAGCTTGCTCAGGTATTTGTCCAGCTTATCCTTTATCTCACTATGTTTCCTACTCCAATTTTTCCACGGCTCATACATGTTTTCTTTCGGCCATTACCCACCATAATGAGCCAACATCTTACAAACAAGCAGTACAGGTGGAACACTGGAAGCAAGTCATGAGAAAAGAGTTGGAAGCACTTGAACAAAACCACACATGGACCTTAGAACATCTCCCTGTAGATAAAAGAGTTATTGGTTGTAAATGGGTCTACAAAATTAAATTTAACTCTGATGGATCAATTGAGCGATATAAGGCACGCCTTGTCGCTAAAGGCTACAACCAAGTAGAAGGTTTAGATTATAATGAAACGTTTGCTCCAGTTGCCAAACTCACTACAGTTCGTACTCTTTTAGCTGTTGCAGCTGTGCGAAATTGGGATCTCCATCAATTGGATGTGCATAATGCTTTTATTCATGGAGATTTACATGAAGAAGTTTACATGCAACCACCACCTGGATATTTGTCGGCCGAAGATAATAGAGTTTGTCGCCTTCGACGGTCACTTTATGGATTAAAGCAGGCCTCAAGGCAGTGGTTTGTTAAGTTTTCTACTGCTATTTTAAGGTTTGGCTTTACACAATCCAAGGCTGACACTTCTTTATTTTTATATCGACGATGAAATTCTTTTGCAGCTATTCTTGTATATGTAGATGATGTGATCGTTGCCACTAATGATTCATTCAATTTGAAAGCTTTAAAGGGCTACTTAGCATCCTGGTTTCCTATAAAGGATTTGGGTCCTCTAAAGTATTTTCTTGGTCTAGAAGTTGCTCGCAGTTCAGAAGGAATAGTTCTTTCACAGCGAAAATACACGCTGGATATTTTAAAAGAAACGGGCATGCTGGGATCTAAACCAGTGAAATTTCCCATGGAACAGCATCACCGTTTAACTTTGGATGAAAGTTCTCCTCTGCAGGATCCTGGGCCCTTTCGTAGATTGGTTGGGAGGCTGATTTATCTATCTGTTACTAGGCCTGATATTTGTTATTCAGTTCATTTGTTGTCTCAATTCATGCACCAGCCTCGACATAATCATTGGTTAGCTGCCCTCCGAATATTGCGTTATTTAAAGCTTGCACCAGGCCAAGGTATTTTCCTTTCAATATCAAGTCCTTTGTCTATAAAAGGATTTTGTGATTCAGATTGGGCAAGTTGTCCACTCACCCGTCGTTCAACCAGTGGGTATATCATATTTCTTGGTCATTCACCTATTTCATGGAAGACCAAGAAACAGATAACAGTGTCACGTTCTTCTGCTGAAGCAGAATATCGTTCAATGGCAACAACTGCTTGTGAGATCATTTGGATACGCCAATTACTTTCAGACTTATATGTCCCTTGTTTGGATCGTTTCTTTATATTGTGATAGTCAAGCCGCACGTCATATTGCCAACAATTCAGTTTATCATGAACGAACTAAGCACATTGAGGTGGACTGTCATTTTGTTCGGGACTGTATTCAACGGGGTTTGTTGGTTTGTCATCACATTTCAACACAACATCAACTTGCTGATGTTTTTACTAAAGCTTTAGGTGCGCACCAGTTTCAAATATTAATTGCCAAGTTGGGCATTCGGAACCTCCACGCTCCAACTTGAGGGGGCGTAATAGCGTATTGGTAGTTAGTTATAGATATGCATTAGTTTGAATTTTGAATTGAAAAGATCTGGTATACAGTTTGTCTCCTATAGGACTCTTCTAGGTATAGAATTTGTGTCCTTGTAGGAGTTAACCACATCAGTTGTTCCTGTACTTTGTATCTATAAAAAGAGCGTCTTGCTCATTCATTAATAATAAGATTGATACTCTGTTTTACCAATTTATCACCAATCGTTATCAAAATTTAAATTGTCTAATATGCCCCCACTCTTCCTCTGTCACGTCTATATGTCATTCAATATTTTGGAAGCAACCAATTTAAGGCGATAAATGTGGGCATGGGGTTTAGTGTTTCTTACTCTTTCTCTCTGTCTCTGTTAATCATATATTAAAGCAAAAGAAGAAAACTGAAGAGGAAACAGAGAATGGTACTGAAAATGGGCACAGAATCACAAGTTGAAGTGAGCACAAGAAAGGGTGGTCTTAGAACCATGCCATTCATCATTTGTACTACTCTTACTCTATTCTTTTACTTTTCTTTAGTTAAATTGTTTTGCAATGTGTTATTATATTTCAATTTTTCACTTTTTTGGTTGTTGTTGTTGTTTTCAGTGAATGAATCATTTGAAAGGGTAGCAAGTTTTGGTTTACAAATGAATATGATAATCTACTTGATGACATATTATAACATGAGTGCTGCTACTGGAACTAGTATTCTTGGACTATGGGGTGCACTTTCAAATGGATTGGCTCTTTTTGGGGCAATTACTGCTGATTTTTACTTGGGTCGGTATAGGGCTGTTGCCTATGGATCCATCTCCACTCTTATTGTGAGTGTTTTGATGACAATCTGTTATCTCACTACTGCAAATGTTTTTTCTTATTTATTTATAGAAAATGGTGATGTTCAGACTAAATTGGGTTAATTTTAACATTTTTCTTGGACAGGGAATGATTATTCTATGGCTCACAGCGATGATTCCACAACTCAAGTCTTCACCGTGCTCTCAGATCCAACATGTTTGTAATGGAGTAACAGCACTCCAACTTGCTGTTCTGTTTTCATCTTTTGTGTTTATGTCAATTGGAGCTGGTTTTGTTATACCTTGTTCTATAATATTTGGTGCTGATCAATTGGAAAATAAAAAGAACCCTGAGAACGAGAGGATTCTTGAAAGCTATTTCAATTGGTACTATGCTAGCTCTGGGATTTCACTTATTCTTGCAGTTACCGTTATCGTTTATATTCAAGATAATTATGGTTGGAAAGTTGGCTTTGGTGTCCCTGCTATCCTCATGTTTTTGTCTGTCTTGATGTTCCAAATCGGTTCTCCTCTTTATATCAAAGTGAAAGCTAAAACTACAGAAAACTTGGTCATAGGATTGTTTCAAGCAGCTGTAGCAGCTTTTAGGAAAAGAAATACCCGTCGTCCATTGAGTGATTGTGATGAATTCTATCGTTGGCCACTTGAATCAGACGTCTTGCCTCCATCAAAGGACTTCAGGTCCGTGTCTCCATCTTTTCACCAATATAATGGCACTTCTATTGTCAATATTAATTGAATTTAAGATTTTATGATTTGTTAATCACAAAACTTTTTCTCCTTTTTTCAGTGATATATGATATTGCAGTTCATCGTAATTAAGTTTTATTGTATGTTATAGTTGTTTAAATAGAGCTTGCATAATCGAAGATCCTCAACGAGATTTGAATCCTGATGGATCAGCTTCAAATCCATGGAATCTCTGTAGTGTGGAACAAGTTGAATCACTGAAGGCTCTTATTAAAGCAGTTCCTATGTGGTCCACCTGTTTCATGATCTTTGTGGATATAAATGTCTTTTCATTTTCCTTGCTTCAAACCAAGACAATGGATAGACACATCTTTCCTCACTTTGAAGTACCAGCAGCATCATTCAGTGTGTTTATGATTGCTGCTTTAACAATCTGGATTGCTTTCTACGACCGTGTTTTGGTCCCTTTGCTATCAAAATATACAGGACAACAAAGAGGGTTAAGTCCTGTCACCCGAATGGGGATTGGCTTAATATCCTCTGGTATGTCTATTGCATTGTCTGCAATAACAGAAAGCATAAGACGACAAAGGGCAATAGAGGAAGGGCATGAGGACGACCCAAATGCTTTAGTGAACATGTCTGCTATGTGGTTCGTGCCACAATATGCACTACTTGGAGTGGCTGAGGCTACCCATGCAGTTGGACAGGTTGAGTTTTTCTACGCTTTATTTCCCAAAAGCATGTCCAGCATCGCGTCATCTATGTACACTGTTGGGACTGCTGTGTCGAGTTTGATTGGAAGTATTCTGGTGAGTGGTGTGGATTGGCTTTCATCAACCGGAGGTAA